TTGTTTTAGTATCCACCAAACTATAGGGCAACTTAAAAAAAGACCATAAAAAAACAATTTTTCTCAACATATTTTCAGCTATTTTTGCTTCACTCAATGCAACCACATTATAGCATGAATTATAATACCAGCTGTTCAGTAGCTGATCAGAATGTTGGATTTGTGATATATAGTCCCTAGTTTGGTGGATTATATATATCAGATATGCACACAATTAAGAGAATCATAAGATGGTCCAACAGTTTGTTTGGTGTGAATAGCAATACTTGCACAATTTTGCAGTCTCAAAAGCCCAAACCAAAGCTGGACACCCCCCTGGACACATTTYKCTGTATTTGATACATAACATCATTGCAAACTGACAATTTTTTTTAATTGTAGTTTATTRATTAAATATCTGCACCTATTTGTACATACATGTCAAAAGTACAACCTCTTACTGATGCAACAATGTGTCCTGATCCCCATGCTAGACCCATGTGCTTGCACATGGTATTTTAGCACATTTCCAAGAACGATGTGCATCCCGGTTCAACTCAAATTCTAATTCTGTCGAAGAGTTTCCATAACAAAATCAATAAAATTGTTTGCTTTAGTTTACTAACTTTTCAACTGTTTGCGATAGCTAAATCAATCAGCTCTGTTGTACAGATTGCTGTATTTTGGAGGCTTATTCTCGTAGCTTATAAGCTTCAAATAATAGCGGGTAGCACACAGCAACACACCCCGGTACAACGTTCATACGAATTATGAATCGTAAATCCGAGGCTTTGTAGATCTGGTGGTAACAGCTAAAATGTCACCAAGAAATTCAAAGGATTCTAGGATTCTATTTACAATAATGAGCGCATTTCAAATCCGAAAATAAGGATGTATGCAGAATGTATCTTAGCCTGCGTAGCTGCCCCTTAAAAGGGCCAGCTACGCAGGCTAAATGTATCTGGGCGTGCAAATGTTGTCCGTCACGGTCTTTTCTACAGACAATACTGCTTAGAAAACTGGAAATTTATGTGCTATCTTGGAATTTATCGCTTCAAAGCACTATAAAAGCACTTACCGTGATAGAAGACGCTTAACAACGCCATCCTTTTCGGAAAATTCARCCGCAGCTTAAAACWMRAAAAACATCAAAATAGCCTTGCGCAGTTCAGTTCGARCAAGGAAACTACCAGGCGTTCCAGGCGTTCCAGGCTTTGAATATATGAATCAGTTCGATCTGATGCGCTATTTTTTTTTTAACCAAGGTACTTTTACATTTTTAACCAAGGCACTTTTACAGTGTGAAAAGGCGTTATCTAGTAACAATAGCCTAATCAAATGAATGCATTAAACCTTTTAATTTGTGTTTGGCAGGTGCTACCTGTAAACACGAGAGGGAATGCAATTTGGGTGTGGCAACAGCCCATTTGTCGACAGATCCTTGCACTGAAAATGCATGGAAAAGACAATCATATTTTTAAAGGAGAGTAATAATATATATCTGTATTATGTTCRTCGAGATAACCAGATGATTGCAGAGAAAAAGTACTGAGTTAAAGACATAATAAACTGAGATACACCATTTCCCGGACATAAAAAACGAAAGGTTAACCTTTCAGCCTACAGTTTAAAGCATTGTTGATAAATATGCGAGTGGTTTAAGAAAAACACAAGAGAATTTAGTAGTTAGACTACCTACATATTTTGGTAGCAATCTTCTTGTCCACTCATCGTAATGTCAATCAACTGATGACACTACTCTAACATGTCTAACAATGGCCATTGATTAACACTGTGATTAGAAGGCGTATTTAAAGTCGGTAGCTTTTAATTTACTACTTAAAATACACTAGTTGTCTGACGGAAAAAGGACAGTAATTTATCCAGAAGTAATCCTTTTTTATATTTTTCTCTATGCAAAAAATCATGAAATTGAACCTGTCACCCTGCATCGCTGCATTTCAAACCGTCTTAACACACAGGTAGCCCATATTATTGACGTGTCTACGTAGAGACATTTTCTTTAAGTGTTTGTTGCTTTTAAAGGACTTTAAAGATATTTCAACCGACACTTTTTATTGTTATTTCCGGCAAGGGAGGTTTGATTTCCACAGGAAAAAAAATGAAAAAAAATGAAATAAGTAATACAATAATTATCAGTGTAACAAAATAGTATAATAATGTAAAAAATGAAAAAAATATAGTATAACCTTGGTCCCCTAAAAATCGTTCTCTCGGGGTCGATCCCGGCTCCTTTGGATTGTATAACAGCGCCCTAACGCGGTGCGCCACTGAACCACGCTCATTTAMATAATAATAGACCACTTGACACTTTCACCGAATAGACTACCCCAATTTGACATTATATTTTCGATAGTTGCCTGGTTAGTGCAAGGGGTTATCCATCAGWGTCTAGGGGCCGGATAGCTTCTCCCTCACTGGCTTTTTAGTTAGCGCGAAGTTAGGACCAATTATCGGGATAGCATGGAAGAGCCGAAATCTCTAACCGAAATGTAAATCGATTCGACGCCTCAGCTTCACAGAATGTCTCGGGGGAATCGTCCCATTCTCTTTTTAAATTTTTCTGTCGTGGGTTCGAGTCCGACGTACATGTTCGGGTTTTTTCGTACTTTCTTTTCCTTATTCCTTTTTCTTTTTCTTTCTTTCTTTTTTCTTTTTTTGTTTTGTTTGTTTGTTTTTGTTGTTGATACTTGTTTATTGTAGCTTGCAGCATTAGTAATAAGAATACATCATTTAGAATACCTGTTAAATATCTATAATTATAATCGGCCACACGAATATTTGGTGTGTAGAGATCAGATAGGAACTTGTAAACGCATGTCAGCAATATTATATAGCTTTCGTCCGAAAAAGATTTATCACCCCTGCTCAGAAGCAGGGCTATGTTTTCAGTAGGGGATCTTGCACTGAATTTTTTTCGCTGCCATGGAATGAAAGATACAAAGTATATAGATATACAAAGTCGCAGTACATAAGCCATAGGGAATACTGGATGATATAACAATGGAAAACTACCGTCAGATGCATAAAAATAGAATAGAAAAAGTACAAGAGAAGGTGTTATAGTGACATTCTTGCAGTTTTCAATAAGTTTATTTCTCTTTATAAGGATTCCTTTTTATCCCTATTTCCAATCTAAGTATTTCTGGTTTAATTTCTCTTTAGTCCCTCGGTCTCTATTGTGTTCCTACACGTTTAACACACTTGAAAAAATATGAATCCTAGCCACCTATTCAACCCTCTACAATCCTTGGTGAATATAGATAGAATGAATCCAGTCTTTATGAAATGTTTGTTTCAAGATATCAAAGCACCATTTCTGAAAGAAAAGATATATTATAAATTCTTGTTAAATGTGACAGAAGATGTTAAAATAACATTTCATTACACTACGAAAAAATTGAATTTGAGATAGCTCAAAAGCATGATAGGCTGTGCACACATGCAAGCAAATACGAATTGATACAGAAATTATTAGAATAGTCATGACAAGGGTGTCAATTCTTATTTATTTGTTTTAAGGCCAATTATTATTTTTTCCTTTCTTTTTTTTTGAGAATGGCATCAGAGGATGTCGAAACGTCGCAAAAATGAATCTAGTTGCGTTTGTCTTTTTGATTATCTTTTTTCTTTGGTTTCTTTATTAGTACTATGTATTGTCTTGTTAATTTGTATTATTTATATGTTCTTTTTGTACTTGAAAAAAAAAACATTTCATTACACAACACCATCGACAGTATTTATTTTCACAAAGCGCAACATCTCATCTTCGGGAAACCATGGGGGTAATTTTCTGTCGTTCGTTCCTATTTTTCTGGGAGTGAGGAGTGAACGGCAGAAGATTACCCCTGGGCTGCCGAGGATGCAACATCTCAAAGACCTCAAAGAAAGTTGCAACTATTTTCGAGCCATTTGGATTTCTAGCACCTTATGTTATACGTGCTAGACTACTGATGCAAGAAGCATGGATGTCATCCCTAGGTTGAATATTGTGTTTTTCTTCGCATACAAAAAAAATACTCTTTTGCAGAGAGGGCCAAATCTAGGGGGGAAATAATAGGGATGCATTCCCTTATAAGATCGAAAGGACCCGCTCCTGCTGTAAGTCACACGTTCCGAGATATCGTTGTTTAATAATGTATTTTCTMCAAATATAACCAATAACTATTTTCACCTTTCTATCTTCCATCATTGATTAGTGACTTCTCGAATAAAATAATTCGGCCAATTGTGACGGTAGCAGTTTGCTCCTTGCCGCCTTCCCCAGTGAACGACACTGAATAACTAGCGTCTACCGTTAAGGGATCTTTGATCTGGCCATCACTACCAACCGGATTTCCACAAAAAGGCATCTCGAGCTCTACTCCGAAGTTAACCAACASCTTGGAAACACCCTCTGGAATGGACTTAAGCTCGGCAAGCTAATGAAAAAAAACCCAGATTAGTGGAACACACCAACAGTATAGTTTTTGCCATTTTAAATACACACCTGAAGAAAATCTGGTTTCTTGACAGGAATGTGGGAAATATAGGCCTTCTCGTTGTTTCCATARAGGAAGTATCTGCTCTTTTCAGGGTAGCCGGTGGCGTTGAGGTCAAARTGGTCAAACCTGGCCACATCCACAACTTTTATACTGGTTTTCATGAAAGGTTCGTCTTTGGCGTTGGGAATACCAGAGAAGCACTCRACCTATACGGGAAAATAACATAGAGGTTATAGTTACCGAACATTCCTATCTAATGCTTGATATTACATTAGTAATATAGAGTACATTAAATAAGTTAAGTGTAGGGAAGACCAAACCTCMACTWCAGGCTCGYATCGACCTGAATCTCCCTCATCAAAATCATACAACAGCATATCATGAACACGATTAGGTTCCACTCCACGAAGCACTAATGGTCCTCCTCGCTGTGCTGCTCCTTCAGCTGCGACATCTCCATCGCCTTCKTTGCTGAACGTGCACTTGGCTAAAGCGTGGTACTGATGAGAGACGTTAGGGAATCKTCCTGCATAATACATGACCATGYGTTTATTCTTGTCCARGACACCGCTTGTCACAAAGTCATGATGGGCGTTTGGATCAGTCACCTTGACGAAAACACACAAACAAACTTTRAAAACTATGGTAATSAAAACAATGATAATAATGATGAAGATAACGATGRAAASAAAGAAAAACTGAGGGGCTGAAGAATAAGTAGTCTTTAGAAATGCGTGGTACTTACTGTTCCAATAGAGCACAGAATAGCATTCCTAAGAATGCCTGCCAGGTCGTCAATGAAATCCATGGTGGTGACGTAGGCATCCATACATGTTGTCATGATGTACTTGACACCGGTTGTATCATAAGGATCAATCTACAGAAAATGTATATATATATTTATTGACCTCACTGACCACCTCCATCCAGTTTCGATCTCGAGACCAGAGACTAGGAGGTAGAAAATAACTTCGGACTTTTCGGCATTGAGTCTTTCTGTGACTTTATGACTTAAAAACTATGTACTTTTCATAATTATTGATCGAGCAAAACCACATACCCCAAGTCTCTTCTTGAACTCTTTCAATGCTGTACTGTGGTTTGTATGCTTGTACGTAGATGCTGTAACTATCATTGGGAATCTAAAAGCGCTGACTCGGTCATCAGACATGCACAGGTCTTTAAAGACAGCTTGGACGATGTCGTTGACTAAGTTGACATCAGTGTTGCCTTTGATGTTGATAGAGAAACAGGGCAACATGGTGTCTGGTCCAATTTCACGTAGATATTTCATTACTTCGTCATTCTAAGAAAAAAACGCAACTCATCGTTATCAGGTTTTATAAATAAAAGATATTTTGTACATCATTAATGCGAAGAATGAAAAAAAATTTGGCCGGATAACTCCATCTGGAAAGTTGACAAGCGCGTTGCTGCTGCTGATTTGGGCGGGGACTCAGTTGGACACATGACATCAATATTGAATGCTTTAGCACTCACAACTCTTGTTGATATTCACCTCTGCAATTTCGTCGTTCGTTTTGCCAATAATGTTTTCTTTCATGTACTTAATGTGTTCTTCTCGAGTTCGRYCAGTTGGAAGAGGCTTGGTTGGAACCACAAAGAAGGGATCTCCCGCTTCTGCAAGGGCGACGAAATAGCAATAGAGAAGCTTTGATGTAAACATGCATTCTCCAAGCATCCTTCCGTAGCCATTTTTATGCAAACCAATTACCTGAAAGACAGACAAACATCTCAAATATAGTCACGGGTGTGGTTTTCCCTCCTTAGTGCAGTTGACTTTTAATGATGTTCAGTATTCTGGCGTTGGATGCCGGATATTYGTCAGTCACAATTTCAACTTACCCTGTGAGCCATGACAACACCGGATGCAGCTGCACCAGGTTTCGAACCTTCAATACCAACGTCACCAAGGTTGACAGCACCATGATAATACACCACTTCGTTGGTGATTCCTAAGAACTTGTTRATTCTCTTGTCACGATAGCAAGTAGCCCCACCAGGGTAGGGACAGAAACCACTTTTATGAGGGTCGATGGTAATGGTATCGACGTGTKGGATTGCTGACAGTTGAGCATGAACATACGTACTTAGAGTTAGCTCTGGTACAAACCACGAAGCTCCCTCGCTTGTCTGTTCTAGTGAAGCAGGGGGTGTTCGTAACATGGTGCAAAAATATCCTCCCCAAGCTGCGTCGGCGTGTACCATGAATGMCAATCCCTGAAAACAGAGCATGAAGATCAATTTTTGGATGGTAAACAATTCTGTTTTCACCTGCACCTACCCTCGCTCTCATTTCCTGTCGAATCTCAAGTATGTCAACAAGAGGATCAACGGCACTTTCTTCAGTTGTACCCATTATAGCAACCACACTGATTACTGGAGTCTGATTGGCCAGTTTGTCCTCTAGAATGTCTCGCAAACCTAAGGAATATTGAGATCAGATCAGATCTCTAAACATTCTGTTGTGAATCTACTGAAGCACAAAGATGGCATTACCTTTGACGTCCATTCTTGCGTTGTCATCTACAGGCACTGGAATCAAGTGTTCTTTACCAACTCCCAAAATTGTTGCGCCTTTGAAAAGAGAGACGTGTGCTGTCGTTGCGGCAAGAGAACACGGATTGTTCTTTAGATTATGACGCCTGTAAAAGTCTGGTATGCCAATGCTTTCCAAGGCGTAGTKTTTCATGATTCCAAGCAAATCCGTATCAGTGATGGAGCACATTGCTGCCACCTTATATGGAAGATGTAACCAATATTTTTGTATTATTTTATTGGCATAGTTTTCTCTAAAAAATACTTTATAAGTTGATGATATTGAAATGAAAATAAAAATCTAATGTAAATCACATTGCCTTTGTCGTCTGTAAGACGGGAAGTCACTAACCTTTTCTGGCATCTCAATGATATCGTCAACATCTAAGTTGAGGAGCTCCCAATTCGTGGCGTCCACAATTCTCACATGGTCATCTTTGTGTGGCAAGTAAACTGTAAAATCGGCTTTTGCTTTAGCAAGCATGTCTTCATTCCTGATGGCATCTTGTAGTCCCAGTGGGTAATACTTGACGTTGCGAGCTGCCCACATAGACTCGATGTTTGCTAGAGTACCACCTGTAACAAGATGTCCCCCGGCTTTCTCAGGATCAAAACCTACCATCTTGCAAAGATCTTCTCCTACTTCCAACTCGTATTTTGTAGTAACAGAAGAAGCTTCTGCAGCACAGTTATTTTGATTGAACAACATTCCGGTTAGATAACCAAGATTTGCAGCCATTACGGTGTCCCAAGTCACGTGACCCTGTTAAAGTGGAAAATTCGTGAGCTAAGATATATTTAAAAACCAAGGCGCGACTGTTGAAGAGTTGATATCACTCGTGTGGATTGCTGCAAATTGCGCATTGTCCAATAACCGCATTTTAAAATTGTACCTTATATCTTGGGGTGAAGAAYGGCACAGCYTTGATGAGTTCTTCTTGAATGTTGTGAAGTTCATCCCTCGTCTTTTTGATGGTATTTTTAAATGATTTAGCCTCACGCATATCGTCGGTGACGAAATGCGGATCACATGGATAATAACTAAAGCAAAATTGTACAGAAATAAATGAATTCTGTTGTGCAATGACATTTTTTAATCTTTGGACTCATATAAAGGTGACATCATCATCGAAGCTAGGACTGAAATGGACCATGGGTACCTATTATATGAATATGAAAATATCTCTATACACCTAATTGAAAAAACGTAGTTGTGTTCGAAAAGGTCACATCATAGAAGCTAAGACCAAAAGGGATTTTGAGTACCACTAAATTGGGATTACATTTGCATATACGGTGTACCGTAAATCAAGTAGAGCTAGTAAGATTAACAGCATGGTAGTCTTTTATGCTGGAGAGCTGTTTGTTATGAAATTAGCCAAATTGTTTGTCTTCCCAAGTAACCTTTCGGTCTTAGCTTCTATGATTTGACCTTTTTGGACCCGACAACGTTTCTTCAATTAGGTGTATTGGCAACATGTGCTCTAATTATATGTCTTCCCATAATTCTCGTCGGCAATATATTTTGATGTTTACAGTTTAAACTGAAACGTGCATCTTGATGCATTCCAAACAGTAAACGTTGCTTCCTTGGTTACTAGAGTCTCATGTACCTTTCTCTGAATAAAATATGCTTGTCGACAACATCATCGATCAGTTTCTTGAAAACCTTTGCATTGTCAGCTTTTGGACCTAAAAACCAAGCACCAGTTTTGGCCCAGGGTTTTGTCTCGTCATCAGCACGATCAAAATTAGGTCTTCGCTCCATGAACATTGGACGCTTGCCTTGTGGCGGTTTTAATTGATACATAGTTCTAGCTTTATGTTCGTGAATCCTAGGAACCAAATAGATCACGTCAAAATGTCAGAAGAAATTTGCACTAGCTTTAAGGACTTTTTTTGAATTTAAAAAAAAATTATTGTAAGGTATAATATCGTTTGTATGCTCAATAGTATCATATTTTACAAATATAGAATTTCAGAAAGCATGCCCTGGTGAGTGAAAAGCGCGCGCTGCGCTAATCACAGCTCAAAAATGTTCATGCATAAAGCAGGCTTATTTCGTTTTGKCTTAGCTATAATCTATTAAAACTTGACGATTCTAACTACATCTCTTTATGCAAGTAGAATATGCAAAGAGGATGGTGSAAACTCGTGATATAAGTAATATTTATAATGACAGTTTGACGATATTCCTTGCGTACTGTTTATGCTAATCAGGTCATTTCGGCCGGAGCTCTTAAGGTGTTTCTAAACCATTGTGAATTTAGTCTGGCTTTTAMGTTTCGGCAACGATAAAAACTCGGACACCTTGACAAGTATGGATATGTTATAACTCACATATAGTATAAATTGCCTCATATTTATAATAAATTGCTTGGGAGTTCCCATCTTATGCGGARTTAAAATTCATGTATTGCCACACCCAAAGCAAGTTAAGGCCTGGGAAATGCTTTATGGAGATCCAATATTTATCTTTGTTCTGTAGTCGTTTACGTTTCAAACCTTACAAAWATTTGCATGTACATGTAACTCGACGACCTTAAACTTTAGGCTGAAAGATAAGGTGATCACGTGAGCAAGATCCTGGCGCCCATCAACTTAAAAACTTTGATTTAAAACAAAGCTTGGAGATGGAAGTCATGTGTAGGTTGAACTTATGGTATATTTTCACTTCTCCCAAAGAGATGAACACGAATCTGACCTTTTGTCCTCGGGTTCACATTATCTCTTTTATCTGTGAATTTCTGGTTTTATTTTTTTGGTTCAATAGTTGAAATTCAGTGCAAGCTGACAACAATCACATCAAACGATTGATTGTTTGATCGRTTAAAAATTGCCCATTTGCTATTGAGTGAGGACTAGAAAGCCTCTATAATTGAGCTCTATTGTGTRTGGTTTAGTTGCGGTGCTTCTGACTCGGAAGACTSACCGCTTTGTTTAACMCCTCTAGTTTTACTCATTGCAAAAACTGGAACCAGAAAGAGAAAAAAATGAGCTTAACACAAAGCAAATCKTTTTCYWGMTATATACAATCAAAAATCGGAATTTCAAACGTTGAAATGTCTTCAGTCGTCTATCTTTTTATGCTTAAGCTTGTTTTCTTGGAAAATAAAACTGAWAATACTGTAGCTAACAACTTACCTGACTAAAGACGACCTCGAACGGAGAAGGGCGTAACGGTGAATAAACACAAAGCGCAAGGACGCACACTGATTGTTGATTGATCACTACTGCGCATGAGCAGGACATTTTGGACGTGCGGTGTTGGRGATTGTCTCCCCTGGTAACCATAACAAGGTCATTTGCAGACAGCAAGACATTGAAATGACTAATGGAACTACGTAACGTAGACACAGTTCCCTTTGTTGTCTGTGAAGATTAAAAATCAATATTCTACCACACGGACAGGAATCATGACATGCTGGGTGTTATGCGTGAGTCGTGTGAGTATGATGAAAATTGAAAATATAAAATCAAAGCAATAAAAAGTTTCCCAGTTATTCCTTTGTGATTGGCATTAATTGAGATCTACACATTGAAGTATGCAACGGTAGTATAGAAGTAATAGCAAGCGGATATCAATGTTCAGTACGAGTGATTTGATTCTGCAGTAAGAGCATTTCGTCATGGATCTCGGCGGGTAAGGGGTGGTTAGGGGGCAGGGTCAAACGTCAAACATATTCTTCAAACATAATTCTGTTCAAGTTTTGAGGATCTTTTAAAGGCTTATTTGTACTGAAACTCCATGGAGAAAGTGGACTAACTTCTTTTTACATATCTTCCCGAGTCCTCAGTCCATCCTCTYCATACACATWTTTTGCTTTAAGATCTGCRTTTTCYCAGATGCTCGGTTTTKGRAGCCTAGRCYCTAGACYGACACGTCGAATAACACATGTGCTGATTCTCATTGTCATCCGAATAGCAAGCCTCAATGATTCAAAAGTTTAAAAAAGCTTCATAAAGACTATAAGTTAAACAATTGTGAATGCAAATTCTTTCTATCTTTTTTTTTAATTTCATGCTACAGAAGCTACTAGGACCGCATAWTACAGACGTGTTAGCTTAAAACATTATTGTGCCCCTCTGTTGGTTTAATTACACTTTTATGGACATTTCTTGGCAGAAATTTTGTAACCATATCAACCATTTCTCAAAATATAAAAAAAACCCGACGACTCGATCTTTGCCGTAAGAAATAGTGACACTTTTAATAGTTAAAGACTAAACCAAAAAGCTATCCATCAGTGCTATTGTAGATTGAAGTTTGTCTTGCACTAGTCCTCCCATGGTGCAGGCAAGGTTGTCTGTGTTAGTCTGTTGTGTAAAAAGATAGATTTAACACCGTAAAAATAGTGCTATGTGAAATAACTTACTGACGTTTCGGACGTTAATCCTTCGTCGGAGACAAAATAATATAATATAAAACAATATATCTGTGTTAGTTTGTGTCAATTGGTCCAGGGAATTGAGAAATTGCATTGTATATAAATCGCTACTGCGCATGATCGAGTTTCATGGTCAGAATTTTTTTTCTCTGTATTCAGGCCGTTTTGGCCATAGTGGCAGAGATCCCCTTATTCTATTTCTTCATTTGAATATCAATCAGACAGCATTACGCGTGCATGTTTAATATTCTATTCTCAGTGGCATACTGACGAGTTTAATTTTCARCATTATTGTAAACCGCTGTTGGTGTTAGATTCAAGACTATTTCACTTTGAAATGGAAATATTTGCAGCATGAACTTCGTAACCCTATCAACAGTTCTAAAGCGAAAAATYTATAGCTCCTTTTTGATAAAGGGATTGACACTTCTTGTCAGTTTTTCGTCAATCACTAGTCAGGCRTTTTAGCAAATARATRGCAAGCTTTTTTGTGGCCTCCTCTGAAGTCCCAGTAACCGGATGTACGATCGTACGAAGGGTAATAGGTGTACCCTCCGGCTAAAGTTATCCAATTCACAGACTGATTTTGTGGATTTTACCCGGTGGGTATGGATTTATCCGGTTGATGGCACTATTCGTACTGGTCCCTGGTGCTGATATATTTTAATTATATTTTCTAATTATTTG